TAAACGAAGCATTAAAATAAAATTTCATTATTCAACATTGAATGAAACCGACAAATAAAAGTCAATTTGTTTGATTTTTATAACTCATTCATGAGGGTTATTAGTGAAATATCGAAAATTGTCGTTAAAATGAGAAAATTTTATGACACATTTCAAAAGTTTTATGAATTTTTGAGATTCATTTCTTGCTGTAAAGAATAGAAACAGAACGCATTAAAAATATTTTCCATGATTAGGATAATTGAAGGCTAACAAGGAAGCAAGAAGATAAGTTTGATATAAAACCAGAAATGGAGTCGTAAAAATGTATTAGCTGCTGGATATGTCATAAAAGTATTGAATAGATCGAAATGAGAAATAAATCAATTATTTGATAAATTTCCTATATAAATAATGCTTTGAATTTTATGCTTCTGAATCATAATTATCTCTATACAACACCCAAAGCTATGCCATCAGTCAAAACTGACTCGCTTGTCGTAAAAACAATTTTATGATGCTTATTGTGAAGCGTGGTAGCTCATTTGTTATCAATTGTGAATCATGATTTTGATAATAAACTCGAAATATTCTAAATGAGAAAACTTTTAACAAACAGCAATGATGAAAAGTAAATATTTATTCTGAATGACTAAACGCAAGTATGATGCGAATCAGTAGCATAATTTAAACTTAAATTTATGTTTGCTGTTTGATGTTGAATGAGTTTAATAACTGAATACATACAGGTTGTGTCAATAAAGAAGTAAGTGCAAGCTTCATATCATTTGCAAATGAAAAACAAGATTATCAAATATGTATTACACATAATTTCTTGCCCACGTAAACATCATCCAAGCCTTGTGTACATTTAGTGATGTCTCATTTATGTATAATTGTTAATCCTACGAAAAACCATTTTGCATACGTAACTGAAGTAATATGAATATTTAATGTTTAGATGAGTAAATAAAGAAAGAGTTTTGCTTTAAACATAAATTCACAAAACACAGGTTTCTCGTCTCGTTACTTATTTTTATTATTATTATTAACGAACATCATGATGGAAAAGCTTTTTCGGTGTTGTTTAACTTTCTAAAATTTGCCTCGAGTTATTTTCTTGATGTTTTTCCAGTCAGTTCTGTAACAGTCAGTAAGTCTTTTCTCGGACAGTCGCTAATATTTACCATGGTTAAAAATAGATCTAATTAGTTAGCAGTAAAAAGGTCCAGATTTGTGATTTAATATTTCATTCGACTCTCGAGTTTTTAATTATTTAATGAAGAGTCATAAAAGCATCAAAAAGATGAGTCTGTTGGTTTTACTCCTTGCTATCTTTTAGACAAGTAGTGAAACATTAAAATATTTTGTCATTAAATAAACTTTCCTTAAAACGTATTAAGTGCCTCAACATAATTCCAAATTTATGATTAATCACGAGACATACATAAACTCATTTTTTCCACTGACACTCTTTGAAAAATTGCTAAAAAAATATCGAAAAGCAAATCGAATGAAAAAGGACGAATGAAAAATTGCATTTATCTGTCAAAGCAATCATAGAAAAAAATGTTTTCCGTTCATTTCGATGACAAATATGATGTTTAACTTTTAAGGAAATCTGATACTTTCCTTTTTCAGCATTGCATTGTACGCGTGATTTGATGGCATGTCAATTAATTCCATTGAGATGTACATTTATCTTCCTCTAAGTTTGACATGTTATACGATTTTACATTCTTCAATCCAGTCGTCGCGCGTTTATGTTTTGAGTAATCGTCAATGCTTTATAATGATATGAAAACGATCTCTGATGCTTCAGGGCTGGTTGACATTTGAACATGTCTTACAAATAGCAAAAGAATTTAACGATCAGACTTTCGTTACGCCCCAAAACTTTTTTCCAAGGAAAATTGTTATGTAAATTTGTCATGTTCAAAAAGAAAAAAGACGAAAAGAAAGATCCATAACCTTAATAAAAAATCTGAATGCATCAGATGTTGGGGGTGAGCGAGGGAGGCATTATTAAATACATCTCAATCATTCTTCATGTTGTCAAGTTCTCATGATTGCTCACTGAAATGACGTGCTTCAAACCTTCGAAACAAAAAGATGATTTATGGAGAAATGGAGAAGAGATTGGAGATGAATAAATTCAATTGCGTTTCGTGTTGTTGAATAAATTCATGAATTGAAGATTTGAGAAGTGGTTTCTTGAATTGTTCTGTCTTATCACTTTAAATTTCATCAACGAGCAAGAATCTATCTTTAGATTCAACCCAACTGTTCTTTTAGGGTTGATTCTTAATAAATTAAATACACTCTCAATATCTCATGATTTAATTAGTTCTGTTTCTCCAGTTATAAGACAACAGCCTTGAGTTATTTATAAAATATCAATTCTTGTGTCGACTTGTGCACACTTTTCCCTTTAAAATTGTTTCATTAACAGTATACATCACTTAATTTCATTCCATTCACCACATTTCATATACATAATAGTGAGATGACAGACCCAGGGAAATAGTTTAATTTTACGACACATATTTTACGTCAAAGCTCATCAAACAGTTAATTAATTATTGAGTGGCGTGAAGGAAACTTAAAGCGCTTGAAGACATAGTTCGTCTGACATCAGCAACATCATTAGTTTTTCTTATAAATTAACATCGTCATATTCCGACTCTTTTCTGATTCAAACTAAATTAAAGCATCGAGGGCGATAATTTATGTTAAAAATTACGCTTATTTTTCATTTATTTAATCACAAGCAATTATTTATTTTGAAGTATTTTCATGTTTTCACTACTTATCGCGTTTGTAGCCTTGTCATTCAATGCAGTAAATTAAATTTTAAAAGAAGCGCTTTAAGTTGAAGGTTTTATGATTTCATTTTTATATTAAAATTTGAAATTGCACAGATCAGCAAAGTTTTTATGCACACGAAAAAGAAAATATTATTGAACATAATTTTCGATATTTTCTAAGCTAACATGCATGGCTTTGCTGTTGATACTTTCAATTTGATTTTTTTATTCGATTGTATCTTTATTGGAATCACATTTGAAATTGAATTTCACGATTGTGTGGTTTTATGTGATTTAACCAATTTTGACCGCATTAAAAGAGAGCATTTAAACTCTTTCATTCTGAGTAATGCAGGGAAGCATTTTTATCCTTTTATAGTTGATTGGGTATTTTGTCCTTTATGTTCTGCACACCCGCTCTTTATGTGACGATGAGAATTGAATGATTTAAAACCCTTTCCATTGCCTCGAGGTGTAAACACATTTTTTTACTCAATTCATGTTCTTTCTTTGCATTATTTTTATTTACAGATTTTTTTTTTCAACTTTTTCCGTCGTGTTTTTTTCTTATCGGGATGTGAATCGCTAGGGAAACTTTTTTCCCAATCAATTACGAGAACTGTCAAATTTTCATCAAACTTCGACTTTGACCAACGTTTCGTGATTTATTAAAAAAATATCGTTCCGACTTTAAATTGGGAAATTCGAGATTTAACATCGAGGTTTCTCTGTTTGCGCGTCCACGCGTTCGTTTGATTTGATCGATTGGAGATAAAAACCAGCATAGTAGATATTTCAAAAGGATTTATTTATAATTGCACTCCGATTCTGTTTGCTTGTTTCCTTTCAATACCTTTGGCAAAATTTTTGCCAAAAAATATTCTTTGATCATCTTTAAAAATGTTTTTGCAACTCTAAACCAACCTTTGGGAGAGGAATTGAGTAAAAAATTACTGTTTAACTTTACGTTTTTCGTTTTTCCAAAGAACTTATGTTTGGTCGGTTAAAAAGATTCTGGAAATAACCCTCGGTCGATTTTGCTGAACTCAAAACGACTGCAGAAAACAAGGAAATATTTTTAGGGTATCATCTTTCAAAATCATGATATTCAATCATGCGAAAAAATATATAAATGATTGAATATGTACTCATCTCTTTCCCTCCCCCAAAGCACCCGACAAAGGTTTATTAAGTCGAAATCAAATCAAATTAAAACACAATGATTCCAAGAGGGTCGCTGATCTCACCATGGTAAAGATTTTCTACTATTGATAAAAAAATCAGCGTAAAATGAATGACCAAATATTTGCACATGCTCTCCATTTAATTCAATGTTGCTAAATAATGTTTGGATTAAATTTTGCACTTAATTAATTTTCGTCCATTTTATGCGATGTGTTAATAATAGAATTAAAATGGAAATAAAATCAATGTTCGCTTTTATTTCTAAATCACTTGTCGTAATTATATTTCACATTTAAAAATATATTGCGCGATAACATTTGCTAGAAATAATTTTTGTTTCATTTTCAGATCGTTTCAGATGGAACTGAATGTGAACTGAGTTTAAAAATGTTTTCTGTCAACACAGACAAAGCGCGGTTCATTCGACTATGGTTGAATTGTAATATGCGGAGATCTTACGCTTCTGTAGTGTAGTGGTTATCACGTTTGCTTCACACGCAAAAGGTCCTGAGTTCGAACCTCAGCAGAAGCAGATTTTTTTTATTTTTTAAATTTATTTAATTATTTTTTCTGTTGTTTTTTTATATATTATGTTCGATTATTGTTGACAAAATTTAAAGAAATTTGTTGACATCATTTCTTTCTCTCATTTTTCCATGCATTTCATGATAATCTTGAATCTAATTACTAATCTAATTAAAAGTTTTACATGAATCAGTGAAGTGTGAATAAAAAAATTAATTCAATGGGCAATTAACGTACAATTAAATTAACTTGCAATTGAACTTATCTCGATGCACAATGAAGGGAGTTAATAAATTGCAAAATATTTCCGAAAGGGTTGAAAAAGGTAAAGAATGAATGAATGGAATATTCAGATTTAATGATGATCCCTCCTGCGACTAAGAATACATTTTCATATTTAAAGCGCTGAAATGTCATTAAACGTGTTCAAAAGAGTCACAAGATCTGCTTGTCTGCGTCTCTATAATGCATTTTAATTTCATTACAGCAAATGCATTAGCTTTCGACTTTTTTAATTCCTTTTTTATTGCTATTCAATTACATTGTAAATTCTAAGGGACATTCTATCACCCAATTTGACTGAAAACATATAACAACGAGTAATTGCATTGACTGAACACATTTTCACATTCATCATTATTCCGGCCAAGTTCTTCAGCTAAAATGTAATCGTTTTTGTTTCTTTTTACGTGGGTGGTTGATGGTCTGAGAAGATGAAACATTTTTCGTTATCAATTTCATAAGATAAAGTACTGACAACTTACACGAATAGAACGTGAAATATTCCACCCAAAAGTCCACTTTCATGCTCGAAAATCAATTGAGACGTTTCGCATATTGCTCTCAGAACACATTGCTTACCATCAATGTTTTTACTGTTGAGAGCATTCTCGAGTACTTGATAAATTACCAATCTAACATCATCGTCATGAGTTTCTCGCTCTTTAGATTGTGGTAAAACCTCATCAGTTTTTTTAACCTTCGCTTCGACCTCATAACTCTCATATACTTGGCCGAATTTAGCAACTTTCATATGATCAACATCGAACGAATCTTGTCGGATAAAGTTGAGTCGTGTTAAAAGGAAGGAAATATTGCGCTCTCAATAAATATCCAATAACTCTCTTAAGCTCTACAAGAATCCAAATCTCTACTACAAACATTGAAACTACAATTAATATTTATTTTTGTTTTCAATTTGGAAAATCTTTATTAGAATCTACCTGGTGACGTGTTAGATTTCCCCGAGGAAAAATCAAAAAGCGCTTTTCTCGACTCAATATCGAATTGTTGACGTGGGAGATGAAAATAACAAAGAAAATTGAAAACTTAACATGTTGTCTGTTGCAATTTCGTTGATGAAATGACTCTCAAAAGCGAAATGTGAAAAGTGGCGAGATTGGATTGTAGCAAAGAGAATAAAGAAAAAGTTTCATTACACACGAAGGGAGGAGAACTCAGATGAAAGATGAACATTAGAATAAGGTCAATGATCCGAAATTCAATAATCTTTTCCAGGAAGAATTCTCTCATTCAACATTTGTCTCACGAGCCCTTCATTTCATTCTTTTTCTCCTTCACAGATTCAAAAGCACACTTGAGAAATTCTTCGACTTTCCAGCATCTTTAATTAGCGAGTTGATTTATGGAGCTCTGATACCAAAAAGTGGAAAATTCAACAAGTTTATTGGATAAAAAAGATGTTTAGTTACAGAAAAATGTTTGAAAGAAAAAAACAAGTTTATCTAATTAAGTTTCGTCTGTAGATATTTTCCAGTAATCATCGTTGAGTAAATAGTCTCTGCAATGAATTTCAGGTATTTAGCTTAAAGACCCGCTTTAAAGACAAATTAAGTAATTAAGAACATACCTTTTTGTTTCGAAAACTTTCAACCATTCTTTGTAATGTTCGTCAATGGTGCCATTAGTGCCGCCGTAGTCAATCGGCAGCACATCTTTCTCAAAGAATTTTAACATTGTGTCGCTACCAACTTTATGAAAATGAACTAAATCTTGAAGCTCCTTACGAAGAATTGGCTTAACTAGACCTAACACTCCATCCATAATACTTGACGTGTTTGTTATATGATTGGAGATCAACCGCACCGGCGCTGCTTCTTGAAGGAACTTCGTGTAATGCAAAAATGTGTTTACATTCTTAGAGAGATTTAAAAATTGCTTAAACGAAAATCCAACAACATCGAGAATGAAGATTTCTCCTTCGATAAGATCATCACCATTGTCATACATCGTATAGCAAGCATCGAACATCATAAGTGCTGTTTTTATCACATCTACACTGTCATAAAGGTTGGCATCACATTTTGGAAAGCGAATAATTGTTATTTTGTATTTTTCTTTCGTTAGCTTCCGAAGAGGACAAAATTGACTGTAATCACAAATGAAGTCATTGATGATAACGTTTATCAACTAAATATTTTGTTTATCGACTCACAAGGTTGTGAATGCTGTTTGAATTTCTTTTACCGATAAATCACGATTGAAGAACAGATACGACGCTTTTTGACGTAACTCTAATCCATGTTTGAGCAATGCAAAGGCATTTACAAGATTGTTGTCACTGACTTTTAAGTATCGTTCCAAAAGGATCTTGTCTGTAATGAGACGTGTAAGATAAAAATCTTTAATCAAAGTAAACAACATAATTTACTTACCCATGTTCGGTGAAAACTTCGCTTCTGCAATCATTTTTCTAAACTCATTGTAAACTTTTTTGTTGTCATCACTATTGTTCGAGTCGTTGTTCATGTTCTCTGCCATTGTTTTAAATCTATTGAGCACTTTATGTATAAAAATAATACTTTCTAATCAGGTCAGAGCACAGCTGAGTGCGTGCGTGGTGCGTCTTGCAAAAATCAAAAGCCAACTGAGCGCAAGTTTTTTGCGTTCAATGACATACCAAAACAGAAAAAAAAAACTTGTATTACTCTCTTTATTTTTATTTTTTGGGGTTTGAACGCTCTAGTGATTCATCGTTCGGTGAGACTTTTTGTGATAAAAACTCGTTTCCTTATCAATGTTGCTTATCAACGAAATAGAAACAAAATCCACCAGAAGAAAAGGGTATTGGGAAAAAAGCAAACTCAAATAAAGAGAGAATTACATCAATACATTGAAAGTGTTAGTTACCAAGAGTATTTGATGTTAAAACGATGAGATCATGTCAATCCCTTAAACTGATGGCGATGATATAAGTTTTATTATTTGCTGTAAGAATTATGTACGAAAGATTTGAGTTGTGAGTTTACTAAACTTTTGATTTCACTGGAGTATTTTTTTTCGCTCTCTTTTGTGGCCTTCTTTTCTTGATTTTCATGAATCATCTTCGTTGTTCACACTTGTGTGGTAATCGTTGAAATCTCTGAGAATTAAAAAATTATTCGTAAATATTACGTCACTGAAATTATTGAAATCGCATAACTTTGCAAATGTTTATTGAAAATGTTTTTTTTAATTCATGGTTGGTGAGTTTCATTAATACATCAGGCAAACTCTTAACAAGCCCAGCATGTAACAAAACTCATTGCACCCCCGGTCAGTCTATTTATTATTTTAACCTAAACGGATATCGATTTAAATTCTAGGGATTTTATAATCAGAATAATAATAGTAATGACACCATATGCTGTTTAGTCACTTAGAATAGTCAATGCATCGGAACAAATTGAAGGAGATCAGCAATAAATTGACCAAATTTGTAATTAACAAATTACTGTTTGTTTACGCATTTTTCTAATAACAACAAAGAATAATAAATTTGTTTTCACTCGTGGATGGATAACCCTGTTGAAATGCATCTGGATTAATTCCATTATTTATGAAGTCAACTGAGCTTAGCACCAACAATAAAAAAAGTGTTTCGAAAATAAAAGTAACCTTCATGAGTTTAATGAATTATTCATAACATCAGCAGTTGTGCGGTAATTGTGAATAATTTAAAATGTATCGTTCGGATGTCGATTATTGTGACCGATGGTCAAGAGAAAATTTTCAGGGTTCATTGCATTGGGAAATGTTTTCATTTAAAGATTCTAAAGAAAAGGAATTTTTAAAGAAATTTCAGCTTTATGGTGATGTCAGACAAGTTGATGATTCACAATCTTATCATGTGTTTGCTTAAGACATTGTGAGAGTTTTAATTAAATTTTATCTCTCAATCACTTCAATTTATCATGCGTTGAATTTTTAAATAATTTTCTCCAATTTTACTTAGCAAAGAAACAAAAAAATTATCGTTGGCCAAGGAAAATGTGAAAAACTGTTTGTACGATTGCCTTAGCTTTATCATGATAAAATGTAGTGCATAATAAATGAAGACAATTTTTAAATTAAGCTCGAGAAACGGTGACAAATTAAGTTGTTTGTCTAGATGTGAACTTAATGGCTATGAATTTATTTTCGAGGGAAATTATCTCTTCAACTTCCAACTTCTTCTCATTACAAGTTCTAGTCGGAGACGGTTTAATTTCCGTTAGAAAAAGATAACATTGAGAAGATATCTATTTATCATTCAAACAAATGTGCGCAGTATCCGACGTGTCCCGTTTCGTGTTGTATTATTTGCAACTTTTCTTCTTTTTATATAATCAAGGAATATCATTAGAAAGCAAAACCCATTTGCAACCTTAAATTTGCAATGTAATTAATCAAACAAAAAAGTGCATTGAATGTGAAAGAATTGAAAGAAAATTAAAATCGTGACTCGTGATATTCTTTTGGGATGACAATGAAAGGATTGAAAATATGAATATTCATAGGTTTGATATTTATCAAGCATTGCAATTTAAATTTATTTTTGAATATCATCGACATTGATTTTCGCAAAATTAAGAATCAGCGACGTTGAATAGAGCATAACTAACAATAGGAGTGCGATGATTCAGGAAAGATGATAATGAAAGCATCATTGTCACACCTGGAAAGTGTTGTCGGTGACGGCTTTTAAACGTTTCATTAAAGAGAATTTTTATGGTTGCGCGGAGAAGAAAAAGAGATTAACAAATAAATATTCAAGCACCAAAAGAAATAACATTCAAATATCCCTTTGCTTAGACTATATTAAAAAGAAATTAAAGATTCGTTACGCATTTAGAAAAAGATTTTTCAGATTTAAAGTAGTTTAACATATCATTAAAAAAGATATACTTTGGAAATGTCTCTCGCTCTCTTCAAACATCAAATTAAATCAGTGTAAATTAAAAAGAAACTTACGCCGGCTTTTCTTTATGATCTTTCAACTTCGTTTCATTTCTTTGTTGTCATGAAAATTAGAATCGGGCGGTTAAACATGGGAAAGAAACCAGTCCAAATAAATTCTAATCCATCGAGTTTTAATGACTGATCGTAACACCTGTGACGAGTTTTCACGTTAAATTTTACATTTTTGTAAATGATGTACTGATAAACATTGGAAAATATTTATTTGGATGACTTTACTTTTGAAAAGTGACCTAACAATGAAATGCGCCTTGAGTTAACTTGAAACTGATCTGAACACTTCATTTGCTTTCAATTTTCTTCGCTAAACTCGACCGAGAGAATCGGTTTCTACGAACAAACAATCATTGAATCGTCGTTCCCTTTCATTTCTAATTGCTTCGTTTCCCTTTCGGCTTCTCGAACTTTATCCTCAATTTTCTGTTCTTCTTTACCTTTCAGCTGTTGAATTCAAATCAATGCTTCATGTGTTCAATTTTATAAAAGAAAAAGGAAGAGAAAACATTGAAACATTTACAACCTAAACATTATTCGAATTTTTTTTTGCTTTACCATTTCATTGCATGCTCACTTGTCGATTTTCCTTTATTAATGATACAGAGGGAAGTTTACATAAACGCTGTGTGTGTTTGTATGAGTTGAAATGACATAATAGAAACATTCGGAACATTGTTTTTGATCGTCAACACTGCGATTTTATAATATCTACTCCGGAACTGAACTCACTTCACCCTATTTAGTCTTTTTTGACGTCGGGAAGAAGAAGGAACGTGTTTACTGTTGCTGCGCTAAAATATATTAAATAAATATTTAGGTTTTGAATATAAGTGAAAATACTGTTTCATTAAAAATAATTGTAAAAAAAGTAAATTTGGTGACAAAGAATCTCGGAAGAAAAAGTTAAATTTATAAGAATTGTCAACATGTCACGCGCATTTTATGTTCCACCACAGAGTGTTAATGCCGTCGGGAATTCAGAATTTTTAGATATTCTCGTTACAACTTTTTTTGCACTATTGGAACGAAGACATCGATGCACTCGCAGATGTTGTGGAAGATCATATCTCAGGTCAAATTATGTAAGAAGTCTTAAAAGAATTAAAATTTTAGATAATAATTTTTTTATTTCAATAGTTAACTTACCGTGGTCGACGATGATGAGATTTTTCTGATTGACTGGAGCTCTTAAAAGCATCCTTCCTTGTTCATCGACACGTTGAAGTTAGGGAAATGTGACCAAATAAACAAAGTTTTACAAATTTGTGTTGTAGAATTAAAAAGTTCTGAATAAAACAATTAAAATTAGCTTTGATAAATTTATCACAAAAAAGTAAGATTTTCTAATNTTCTTTTCCTCTTGTTTGTCCCGGATGTTTCAGGCTTTTCTATGATCCCATTTGGTAGCTCATCGACTGATGTATCAAAGTTGATTAACTTCCTGCTGGGAGTTCTTTTCCTCTTGTTTGTCCCGGATGTTTCAGGCTTTTCTATGACCCCATTTGGTAGCTCATAACCTGATGCTTCAGAGTGATCCATTTGTTGAACCAATTGATCAGTTGTTCCAGGCGTTGAGATTGATTTTCTTATTCCTTTCTGGTCTGCAGTAGCTGTTTGTTGAACAATTCGAGGTTTAGCAGCTGGTCGACGTGAAGATTGTGGTGTCTCCTTAAGTCCATCATTTGCCTGCTCCAAGAACTGAAACGTTTTAGCTGCTGATTTCCTAAACATGTTTCCCATACTTTCATTGAATTTATTTAAATCAAAAACGGCGTCCATCTTTATTTTAACAATTAATTTAAACTTTTCTTCGATGATTTATGTTCGACTTCACACGATTGAATGATGATTTTAAATTTCATTTGTCATATTTATATAAAAATTTCACGCGCGTTAAATCTAAATTACCGGTTTTAAATGCACTTACAAATACATTGAAAACCATAAGGACACACACACAACATTCAACAAAGTCATAAAGTAATTAACTCTCACTATAGGTACATAAATTAAACATGTGCTGCTGATTAGGGAGTGAAAACAATTAGAAGGTGAAATCCGGTAAATATTGGAAATTCCCAAAATTTCTTTCATATCCGATTGACCATCGTGCCCAAATCTGTTTCATCCCCGATAGCGTCTTCTTTTTTTTAATTGACTTAATTTTGTGATATTCAAATCTTAATCCTCATTTCCCGAATAACACAACAGGGCAATGGCGCATTTAAATCGCACTTAGGTATGCCATAAGTCTAAAAAAACATTGACATTTGCCAAACGGACAACTTAAGTCGTCCTCATGGCACGTGTGTGCTATTCGGGTTTGTAACATGAAATCTATTTGCAGAAAAATGATTGATTAGGTGCCAATTTATTTAAAATGATGATTTCAAATCAACAATCAAAGAAATTTCCGCAAATATTTGCCGGTCTTTCTGTTGCTGGTGGAACCTTTGCATTAGGAGCTGCATTAAAATGGCCATCACCGGCTGGACCTCAGTTAGTAAACCGCACTTTAGCAGAAGATGAACGCTTTTTCGAAATCACTCAAACTCAATTCGATTGGGCAGCCTCAATTGGTTGTGCAATATCTTGCTTGCCTTTTACCATTCACCAGAATCATCATCAAGTATGCTTCAAAGCCGAAACAAACATTTTATTGTAGTCGAGTTAAATCGAATGGAAATAAGAATAAAAGCTGCTGGAAAAAGTTCTTTCCCTATGTAGTCAGTAATGGATTCAGACTTGATTCTTATTAGGTAATAATAGTTTCAAGAGAAGATTTACATTTTTATGAAACTTTTCTTAACACGCTTCATTAAAGTTTTGACATTTCCGAACATCCATTAAATTCTTTCCTATTGAAGTATCACTCATTCAAATAAAAAGTGAATGAAGATTTTTAAATGAATGACAAAATTCATGATACTGGAGAATAAATAAGAAAGCTTCGATGTACATATTAAAATTTTCATCACTTGAAACGTCACTAGGGCTTTATGAAATTGAAGTTAAGGCGTAAGAAAAATTGTTATTTTCGTCACGTTTAGATATTTATTTTTTCATCAAATATATCACATTGTTAAGCGCATATTTTCTTGCTAAGCGATGAAAACGAGCAATCCCCATGCTATTCTTGTTCATAAATGGCAGCGACTATGATGTCATAAGCGCTTTTTGATCCGCAAACGTCGACATAAATGTCTTTGGAGAAGTTTCAGCTGAAAATTAGATGATGCGTAGGGAAGAAAAGATTCTACCTATAAACCTTCGAATTCATAACATTATTTAGTTTATTATTAAAGAGTTTTTAAACGATTGATCGTCGTGAAGGTTCAAACCAAAGATGTGTATTTACATAAGATAATTCTCAAATAGATGATGTGAATAAATAGAACTCCCTTCACTCTCACTCATATTTTATTTCGAGATAAGCTTGTCTCGAGAATCCAATCTTAAGGAAGAAAATTGGAAACTGATAAAGAAGAAAAAATTCACCTCAGAAGTCTTGAAATGGAATGTAATCGTATTTACAGCGTCAATAAAAAGGCTTAAAAATCGTTCGTTCGATTATGCAGCTTGAGGGTATGAAAGCGTAATAGCTAACCGTTCTTCACAAGGATGTAGGTTGTACGCATTAAAGTCGTGAAGAGTGTTCAAAAAAAAAAGTATGAAAGAAAACCAAAGAGCAATAACAATAAAAGTTTATTACGCCTGTTCGTTACGATTTTGATTTATTTGCAAAACATTTCAAGAATGATGTAATAAACATGGTTAAACGAACGGGTGGAGTGGAAAAAAGTCGTGACATCATAACTGAGAAAACCATGAATTTTCACGAACGACTAAAACATATAACATTAATTTAAACGTGACTTTCAACATCATGCGACAGAAATTTTTACAGAAGGGAGAAGAAAATCTTTTCTCTTCAACTTTTCGTTCATCCTGCTTCATTTCTTCAATAACGTCTTATCGAGATAAAGTATTTTTATTACATCCTTTCTTCTTAAGTATCATGCACAAATGATACGAAAAAAGCTTTGAATATAAAGAAGACGAGACAGGAAACAATTTCTGTTGATTAGATCAGTTTAGCTTTATTCTTTGATAATTGTAATTAAATCTGGAATTTTACATGAACTCCCACATGAGATAAATATTTGTTCGAATAAGAACGTCCTAAGAAAAGTTGTCCCAGTCCCAATTGAATAAAGCTGTTAATATTATAAAATAATCAAGAATAGCAGAAATGAACTGAAATTTAAAATATTGTTTCATTTATAAATTCTTAAACTTTGATTTATGTATTTGTTTATCTTACCCCAACAAGCGCTGATTTTCTCAACTGAATCATCCCAAACACCACAAAACTTGTCTCTTTGACATTCAGTAACATTGACAAGCTTTTTGATTCGTTTGAAACTTTGTTTTGTTGTTTTATAAAGTAAGCCTCTCAATATTTTGAACTATTGACAAACGAGAAATTAAATATTAATTATGAATTGAAATTCGGTTCTCGCTTTCACTTCTTGGAAGATGCTTTCATATAAATTTCATAAGTACCTGATCGAGATATCTGTGATACGATGAAAAAACCGTCCAGAGATTCAAAATGGGATGTACAAGAAATAAAAATGTTGCATGATCTTGTTTCGGCATTGATAGGATTTATGAAATGTTTATAGCATAAATTAATGTTGTTACTTTTACGATTTGTCTTGATTTTTACCTTCGATTGTGCTCAGATGCGCAAATTTTAATCTCACATAAATATAATACAATTAGGCCTTCCGAATGGATATCCGGATACGGATATTATCTGGATATCCACACTAAAATTGATATCCGTAGATCCGCGGATATGACGAAATATCAGGATTTTATCCGTGTCTAACTTTCTTTCGGTTTGGGTGAATTTTTCTATAATTTTTTAACGCTTATTTGAAATTTAAATTACAAAATTCAAAAATTAAAGAAAAATTGAACACCCTTTTCGTGAAATTTGATCGACATTGCAAAATTTTTTAGTAAACTTGAAAACAATGAAAGTGATAGATCTTTATTCTTTTCGTATCTGTCACCCTTTTGAATCACTTTATAAAAGATAATTGAATACGATAAAAATCGTAGAAAAATTGTAATCTTTATTTAAGTATATTCATTTTACAATTTATATTCATATTCTAAAAAAAATGAGTAAATTTTATCGAATTTCGAAGAGATGATGGAAGAGGAAAGTAACTTAAGTTTTTACCAAATTTTAAAAAAAGAAATCGAAGCTAAATGGGATCATGAAAAGCAAAATAAAAACCCAACTGTCGGATTAAATTCAATTGCAAAAGATTTCAAGTTTTACGACCAACATAAGAAAAAAGGCCAAATTCTTGAGAAATTGAACCTTTCGCTTTGCAGTACCCAGCCTACTTCAACCCAAAGTGAACGGAATTTTTCCCTGGCAGCATCTTTTATTTGTAAGCAGCGCACCTCACTTTTTTTTATTTCTAAGCATGCTGATATGTTGTTTTTCCTCAAAATTTTTTTCATCAACAACAATGTTAGCTCTTAAGAATAAAATATTTTCCATATGTAGAACATAAAAATGATAAATAAATAATAACATTGATCAAAATTCTTTTAAGTTTTAAAAATCAGCTGGATATCTGGATATCCAGATATCCTTGTTTTCAGCTTCGAAATTATCTGGATATCCGCAATCGTCAATATCCGGATAAATCGGAAGGCCTAATGGAAATTTCAGGAGATACTGTAGCTGTCGATTTTACGGCACTGTTTACAAGTACATGTTCATAAAAACCACGATTAAATACTTCATAACGCAAATTTTTCCATATCAACTTGCAAAATTTTTATGAAACTAATCAAACTTTTTAAAATGAAATAAATAAACAAAAATTTCATATCAAATTTTAGTTTTATTGTCATTTTTAAGTGCTTCAAACTAATTTAAATATTACAATTTGTTTTAATTCACCAATGATCGATCTTTTGGTTATTACTTTAAATTGTGTCAGATAAAGTCAGAAAATGGCCTTCTTCTTTTTACAGAGCTGAATCTGCAACATATAGAATGATTCAAATAGGGTATAAAATAAATTTACATGCACATTGTAGCTACAGTAGATTGTTTAGATAAAGTTTTAGACAATTATAAATCCTGGTAAGAAACATGCCCTAATGAGATCATAGAAAAAACAAACAATGTTATTACAGACCTTCCAACATTCTTTATTTGGAACTTTTGGTTAGCTAGGTTGAACTATTTCTTGACGGCACTTCCAAACTTCGTGAGAGTGATCCTAGTGCAACTCTCCTTGAAGATTGCATTTATATCTACTTCAATAAAAATTCAAATGTGCCTATTGATGATGTAAATTACATCAAAGTAAATCTATTTTGATTTAAATTTGATTTATTCCAGAAAAACCTACTTAATTATAATTGATGTTGATAAATTTATCATAAATGAATAAAATTTCCTGATGGATATTTGATTGCAATAATTTGATTTAAGTTTTACAACTTGATTACAGGATTTATTTTTTAAATTAATCCTAGTGATACTGAAAAAATATGACTGAGAATATTTGTGGTATTAGTGAAAAGATGTTTGGATAATTGTTTTTAAGCGTGGAAGTTTAATTCAGGTAAAACAGATCTGTCACTTAAGTAATACATATATTCGTTATACCTATATCTATTTCAACGAGCGATTAAGTACTAAGAAGAGTTTCCATATTTTTCATTATGATAGTACAACGTAATTTGCTCTCTTCATTACAAAAACAAAACTTTTCTGACAGATATTACAATTTTTCAACCCAATGTAAAGTGAATACGTATATGAATTTTATTTATCCAAGAAAAAAAATATTTCTCTTTTAATATCTAAGAAAAAACGCTTTTGAGATGATTATTCTCAAAGTTACTATATAAAAAAAGGAATTCATAAAAAACCTTTTAGTGTTTCGAGAACTCTTCAATTAATCACTAAAAAGTTTTCGTTGCTGGGCTAGAGGTATAAATTGAGTTTTTAAAATAAATTTCTCACTTGAATTTAACTTGAATATCTCAACTATTAAAATATTGTTGATTAAATTTTTTATATATTTTAGAAAAGTTTTTTTTTAATTTCATATTTCACAAT